CCCCTGGCAGACTGGATGCTCTTTGCTCTCTGCTCTCAGCCCAGAAGAGTCTGGGCCTCTCCCTCTGGACCCCTGCGCGTGCTCCTGTGGATGCTCCTCCTCCCCCACCCACGCTGCCAAGGCGGCGGTGTGCTGGGGTGCTGGTGCCAGTGTGGCTGCTCTTTTTGCTCCAGGGAGCGCTGTCCACGGTGGTCCTGGACATGAGCTCAGACATGAATAGGTGTTGGCTGACCTTGCATATTTCAGGTTCCATGCGGCACGTCGTTTCGCAGGCAGCTGGGTCGCAGCTGTGGCAGCAGGTGGCCCAGCATTGTTGGGGCAGTGGCTTACATGGCGGTATTGATTCCACCACGCATCGGGGTGCGCTTGGTGTAGGACCGGACTGATCCTTGCGGTGGGGTATTTGGCAGGTTGCTTGGGATTGCCTGGAATCGTGCCCCAGGGAAGTTCAGAGTCTCTTGGTGAAATCGCACCCCACCGATTCCGTACGACCCGACCCGACGCCGCTTGTCTTGTTGTGAATGCGTTGGCCGACGTTTTCGCGAGCGAGGCTGCAAGCTGGGGGGGGCGGCTCCTAGTGATGTAGTGAAATGTTGTGTTTAATTGAATGCAGCTGCTGAAGCGTCTTTTAAAACTTTGGAGGGCATGTTGCGCTGACCTGCTCTCGCGAGCGCGACGAGAGGCCTGGCCGAGAGATGCCTTACCAGCGTGACAGTAAGACCAGCAATTATGTCAAGCAGGGGCTTCTAGATGCTTGGCATTGCACGGGTAAACTTGCGCGATGCTCAGGTGCCAGACTTGCTCCAAGAAGTTCCCTGCCCTGCAAGGGGAATTTTCAAGTTGTTTTCCCGCGGGGTCGTCCTGGGCCGCTGGTTGTGGGTTCCGTTGCGGGCTCTGTGTCGTATCCTGTGACCGTGGACCGCACTTTAGGCCCCTGCGGGGCTGCTGTTTTGCACCCTCTTGTGGGCGAATGCCATGACTCATATGTTCGTGATGTGTGCAGGGGGGGTCCTTTTTTGCAGGAGCTGCAGCAACTACTTTGTGAAGCACCCTAACAGACTTGCCGAGCTTCGCCTTCCCATCTCGGCCGCAGGGAAGGGCAACTTGAAAAGGCTCAGCACGGGGTTGCCGCCTGCATATGGCATGCAGTTCCCCTGTCTCTGAACTGTCAGGTGGGTCTGAGCCATCACTCATGGAGCCCATCAGCAGAAAGGTCGAAATGTCCTCCTCCTCCTCCTCCTTGTCCTTCACGTGGGTTGTGAATCTCTGCGCGACGATACCCTGGTTGAAGAAGTGGCTGACGCCGCCCTTCCCGAACAAGATCCTCCTGAAGCTGATCATGGAGCCGCTGCCGCTGAACGCCCAGCTCACGTTCTGCATGTTGATGCGTGTGACGGCTATCCCGAAGGCGATTGGCATGAATGGGCTTTGCCTGGTGCTCCGTACCTTCGCTGTCCGGCCGACGCCGACCTTCCCGAGCAAGCTCTTCCTGATGCTGATTCATTCCTGCATGCTGCGGCTGGCGACGGGCACGATTGGACGGTTCCTGGCGCGCTGTACCTTCGCCGCTCGGACCTCCTCCAACTTCGTTGCTGCTGCTCGTCTCTCAATGGCCTGGCAGACGACTTGGTATGCCCCAATTCGGAGCTTCCACATCATGATCATGCTGTTCTGCCGCTCGGAGTGGCGGATGATGCGCATGACGCTGAGGCACCCACCGCCCGTCATTGCAGCCCAGTGCCCCACACTTGGCACGCTCCATCCCACTCCTCGTCGCTTCCTCCCTTCTGCCCTTCGTCCCCCGCCCTTCCCACCATCCCTGCGTTTCCCTCGTTCCCGAATGCAGCTCATGACTTACATCCCTCCGCACCGTGTATGGCCCCATGTTGGCGGCCTGAGCGTCGATCGTACAAAGTGCATCCTGAGGTAGGCGTAGCGGCAACAGGCAAGGAGCGAGACGTATTTTGCCCTCTTCTCGCGTCTTGCCCGCTTGCCCTCGTCTCGTCTCTCTTTGAGTACGTGCACTCCTCCTCCTTGTCCTTCATCCTCCTCACTTTTCCTCGTTTCTCCTCCTGCTGCCTCCTCCACGCGTGTGCTCCTGCGCGCACGGAGGGATAAGATGGTGGATGGGGAGTAGGATGAAAGGGTGGTCCTCCCCATCAGTATCGTCAACATCCTCCGACTGCTCCTCCTCTCCTCCTTCTGCTTTTCCCTCCTCATCCTCCTCGTTCTTCCCCCTCCGTCTTTCCCAGGGAAGGGGGCAGGCGCTCCCCAGAGGACGCCGGGGCAGAGCCCGATCCGGCGGCGGCGGCGGCGGCCGTGCCGCAGCAGGAGTGCGGCGAGGAGGCTTCCCCGGACTTCGACGTCGTCAACTTCCGGACTCTACACGTGAAGGTCTGGGGCGGGGGGCTCTTCCGCTCATGCTCGCCCTCCCTTTCACGGGAGGGAGGAGGGAGTATAAATCGTTGAGGGAACAGGGTAGGATGGTGGGAGAAGGGACGGGGGGGAGCACGGCTGACGGAGGGGGCAGCACGGCTGACAGAGAAGTGAAAGACGGATGACAGAGGAGTGGTCGGATGAGGAGGAGGAGGAGGAGGAGGAGGAGGAGGAGGAGGAGCGAGGAGCGAGGAGGGCAGAAGGCAGATGACGGAGGGAGGGCCGGGAAGATGATGAGGGAGGGGGAGGGAGAAGGATGGGCCATGATGAAGGGCATGATGACAGGGTGGGAGGGAGAGGAGTAGGAGGAGCGAGCGAGCGAGCGAAACCTTGGGACCCTGTGTCCACTGCAGTCCGAGGCCCTTTGCGAACGCAGACCCGCGTCGGGCATCAAGACACTCAAAAACAGGTTCTGGGTAACCTTCAAAGGCGTGCTATCGGTCAAGTCGCCCTGGTGGCGGGATGCGCGCAAGCCAAGAGCCGCCCCACAAGCGGGGTTTACCGCCTGGGGTGCTCCACGGCACTGCTCCTACGTCCTAGGCGGACCCCTACCTTCGCCTCTACCACAGCAACGGCCAGTTGGATTGGCACGAGGCTGTTGCACAAGAGCTGGGCCCCAATCCTGAGGGACCCCACGGACTTCATACCGGGCAGGGTCCTCCAAGTTTTCCAGGGTCACGTTCTGCGGTCCCTCGGCCTACACCTGCCCACTCCCAGGGGCATCGAGGAAACCACGCGCCTGCAACTCCAGGAGACGGGCGCTGCCGTGGAACGCAGGAGGAGGAAGAAGAGGAGGATGGGAGGAGGGAACGGAACGGGAACTACTCACCAGGGGATTCACAGCGCCTCGAGTTTCGCCAGGAGCTTCGCGGCGTCTCACTCCAGGGCTCCGCGAGACGCCGGCCGATCTTGCGGACCGCCCCCACGGCCCGCATGTACTGGACCACCGCTCGCTCGAGGCCATCGTGGGCGTGATCGACAGAGCGTGACCCGCACCATGTCCGACTTGCCCTCGCCCTTGCACCTCGGGCGCACCTGGCACGCCCGGATTTCCTCCGCCGCCTGCTGGAGCTCCCTCCCGCAGATTTTCTCCTGCCAGTGCTGCTCGAAGATCTCCTGGGCGCGCTGCGGGCACTTCGGGTCGGCCCCCATGCCGTGCACGAGCGCCGCCCACACGTGGACGAACGGCGGACCGAGGTCCGCGCCAGCATCCTCCCCCTCGGTATTCTTCAGCTGCGCCTGCTCGTGGTACGGGCGGCCCGCGTCGCGGGCGGCTTTCATCGCGGAATTGCTGGCGTCGACGAGCCACGTCAAGAACACGACCCCACAGACGTCGCGCAACTCGGCAGCGTTCGACAGCGACAGGCGGGTGAGCACCAGCACCAAGACCTTCAGGAGCGCGGCGCCGCCCTTGGCCCCCGACTCCTTCGAGGCCTCCTCGATCTGCGCCTCTGCCCTGGCCTCCTTGACCCCGCCTGCCTGGCTGCCAGGCTCCTCGGCGTCGGCCCCGCGAGTCATCATCCACGCCGGAGTGCGGTCCATGATGCGCGACGGGGCTGGGATCGAGATGGGAGCGCAAAATGCCGCTGCACTTGGGCAGACTCCCCGGCTGCATAATCGCACAGTGGGCACTGCAACGAACCAGGCACACGTACAGCACACAGGTTACGAGTCGAATCCACGTTGCAATAGCCGCGAAGAAGATTCCGAGAAAGGTGCCGGCGACACGAGCACGCATGCGCGAAAACACTCGCAACTACAGGGCACTGGTTCGAGACACGCGACGTCTGCCAAGTCTTGCTGGCCATGATGCGCAAGGAGATAAGTGTGGACCGCACGGTGGTCCCGCAACACTTGACGGCACGGCTCTCCGTCTTCCCCCACCACCATGCACCGAAACATGCCCTCATTCTGGCTGTCAGCAAGATCCGCGACGAATCAGGTAAAAGGGGAAGCCAGGAGGAGGTATCGCCACAGACAGTGTTACCATTCCAAGTTGGCGAACGTCCAGCGTCACAAAACTCTCGCGCAACTCATCAACTGCGAAGAGTAATCAGAAACGCTCGTCCAGGGCCTCTAAAAAGTCGCTCCCTCGTCCAACACTCCCAGACTTATGTCCTCGCAAGACTGGCGAGACCACAGGGTCACGGAGGACTCGACGAGACGCCCGTTCGAGACCACAGCGGGGAAGTCTTCAGAAAGATGTCCAAACAATACAGTAACAACTTGCTGATGAACAACGGGGCGGAGGAGGAGGAGGAGAAGGTGGAGGAGGTGGAGGAACAGAAGGAGGAGCATGTGGATGAATACCAGGGTGATGGTGAGGAGGCGAAGATAGTGAAGGATGGGAGGAGCATGACGAGTTGTAGGAGGAGTCGAAGGAGTTACAGGAGTCGCAGGGGATTGTGAGGCTAGTGGGTGAGGAGGAGGTTGAGGGATGTGGTGGGAGGCGGGAAGCCGAGGCACGTAGAGGAGGATAACGAATCGGACGACTACGCGGACGACGACTGCAACAACGACCAGGAGGAGTGTGAACGAGGAGCAGTAGGAGGAGGAGGAGTAGGAGGAGGGGGAGGATGAGAAGGAGGAGGAGGAGGACCGTATCCATTTTGGCTCAAGGGTGGGGTTAAACCCATCCTGAACTGCCCAACCTCGCTCAAGGGGTTCAGCCAGTTTTCGCGGGAGGGGCACCCCTTGTGCCCACGTTTTCTTTCGTGATCCGACCGTGCGGGATGCGCCGCGGGGTCTTCGGACGTGATGGGGGACCGAGCGGGCAGATCATCTGCTCCACGTGCGGGATGCAAGAAGGACCCTCGTCACTTTCGCTTGTGTTACTTACCATTGCAAGTCTGCTCTTCCCAAGGTCCAGGCTGTTCGGCCAGGCGCAGTGGCAGAAGTCGGGACCAGGGGGAGTTTGGGGTGCGAGCGCAGGCCGTCGTTCAGGCGAGGGTCACTCCAGTCCTAAGCCTAAAACTTCGGGGGCCATCGGAGAGCTGCATCGCCGTGTGCAGCTTGTTGGCCCAAACGGGAAGTTCAAAGACACCCTCCCTGCCGCCGCGCGGGATGGGATCAATGCAGTTTGGTCGGCAGCCCAGGAGGAGAAGAGGGCGGCCATCTGCCAAGAAGACCAAGCGTGTGGAGAAGTTCGAAGCCGAGCTTCACGAGCTGGATGAGTACATCTCGACGCTCAAAGAGCAGCGGACCGACCTCGTGGCGTCCACCGTGGGGGCCAATGAGGCTGCAGCAGCCGCTCGCCAGGCCGCTGTGGCCCAGGAAGGAGGCGGACAGCCTGCCATCCCAGCCATGGGGCAGCTCATGGCCCAGATGGATGAGTTCCAGAAGGTGCTGGCCAGTCTCCAGCATCAAGATGTCCGTGGCCAGTTGCAGCAACAGTATGAAGGATTGGTTGCCGCCGCGTTTCGCCAGCTCCCTGGAGGCCAGGCACCAGCTCCTGAAGGCCAAGTTCCAGGCCCTCGAGAGCGCCAACCCGATCCGCGTGCCGAGCATCATGCAGTACCTGGATTCATGGAAGTTGAGGATCGAGACCTGGACGAGGCATGCGCAGCAGCAGGAGTCCAAGACGACATTCGTGCCACATCATACGGAAACTTCGTGAGCAAGCCTTGCAACGTGAGAGGGGGCAACAGGTCGCTGCAGGGCACCGTCAGCAGTCCGCAACGCCACCGCGATTTCGTTCCGAATCGAGAGGCCGCCCACTTCGTGCCACGGAGTTCGTCCCGGCCGATCAGCAGAGTTGGACAAGATCCTGGCGCGATTTCATTGGGAATTCCGGATGCCAGCTCATCGTCGACGTCTGGGGGGCGAAACTATTGTTCGTCAGAGGCCGCACTCTCCGCACCTGAGAAGGAGGAGACTGCCAGCCCTTTGCAGCACCCAGCCGTCGCCATGTCGAGTGGCAGGCCGATAAAGGCTGCAGCCCTCGGGGTGGAAGGACCCTGGGCAGTCTCGGGGCTGGTGGACTCGATGGAGGTGCGGCGCATCGCCTCACATCAGAATGATTTTCCACGCGCGGGTCAATCTTCGTCAGTTACCGCGCTGTCAAGACTGACCACGCGTAGTCCAATTTCGCGCGAGGCCGCACTCTCCGACCCTGAGAAGGAGGAGACTGCCGTTGCCTCGCAGCGCCCAGTCGTCACAATGTCGAGTGGGCCGCTGGAGGCGCATCTGCTCGGGGTGGAAGGACATTGGGCAGTCTCGGCTTCGGTGGAATCGCTGGAGGGTCGGTGCAGCGCCCTACCTGCACATGTACTTCCACCTGTGGATCAATTGCCAGACAGGGCAGATGGCGCTTCCCTGCCAGCGTCGCTTACTACGCTCAAGGGCTCTAGTTGGGTCGCGGACATCAGCGGTGAGTTTGCGCAGAAGCAGCGGCCCAGCTTCACAGAGTTTATGAGCGCGACGTCAGATGACATTGTGTTTCTCCAGGGGCATCGGTTGCAAGGGATGTTGTGCCAACATCAGGTCGCTAGACTTCAGAACAAAGGATGGCGATCGGTTTGTCACAAGATCTTGGCGCCCGTTCTGTCCTTGCTGCCAGATAGTTAGCGCCAGCCTCTCCTAACAGGTCGCGAGCCTCATCAGAGTCGCAATCCAAAAATCTCCCTCCCCCTTTATCTGTTCGTGCTCCCTCTTCCTCCTCCTCTTCTCCCCTCGCGAAGGTCGCTGACCAAGCGGGGTCACCACGACGCCTTGTCGCCAAGGCGCGCTTGGACCAGGGCTCGCGGCGCGCCTGTGAGGAGAGCCTGGTCAAGGCGCGCGGGTGCGGTGAGAGATCGGAGCTCGCCGCGCCTTTGGCAAGGGAGGGTACGGAAGGGCCAAGGGAGGGAGGGGGAGGGGGCGGAGGAGGAAGACATTGGCGGATCAGCGGGAGGAGGGAGGACTTGAGGCAATCCGAGGCTTGGGGATGAGATCGAGATTGAACGGAGGGCCCCCCACTGGGAAATCGGTTTCGGTTTCGTGTTCGTGCTGCGCGCGCGGGCGAGGCGAAGCTGCGCGGGCTGGCGAGAGGAATGGACTCTCAATTGCTAAGGCGCCGTCGGGGCA